TGCTCAGTTGTATCCCAAGGCAGCTCAGTATCCAAGTGGATTCCCTCATAAGGAGAACAGGGAATCTCTCTGACATGAGCTTAGTGGTTGGCTCTTTGATCACCTCCTTCTGAGGGAAAGAAGCCTTACCAGGCCAGAGAAGGAGACCATGCAGCCAGTCTTGATGAGATCTAATAGGCTAGGGTCAGATGAAAGGGGAGGAGAACCTCTCCTACCAGTGGACTTGGAGAGGGGCATGTAAGAGAGGAGGGATAGGAGAGAATGAGGGAGGAGGCTACATCTGGGTTACAAAGTGATTAAATTATAATTAATATAAAAATAAAAATTAGAATTAAAAAAAGAATGGCTTTAGGTAAAGAAAGAAGAAAGTGCTTTGTCTTTATTATATGATTTAATGATTTATTCTCAGTAAAACTGCTAAACATATTTTGAAATTATCTCAAATAGAATTAGTTTACCAGTTTATTATTCATTACACTAAATGAACTAATTTTTTGTGGCATTAAATGATTCAATTTGGTTTTAATAGCCATGGCATGTTTTCATAATACTCTTTTGTTATAATATTTTACTTCATATGACAGCCTGGTATCTATCTCACAAAAGTTAAAACATATATTCATAAATGATTTATTTTAAATGTTTAATATTGTTTAATTTATAACAGCAACAAAATATATACAACACAAATTTCTATCAAAAGTTTATAGAGGAAATATATATATAAGTTACACACACATATACATATGTGTATAAAGTAGCAATGAAAAATGCTAAGAATTTAAAAAAAGAGGAGAGGGGTATAAGGGAATGTTTGGAGAGAAGGAAAGAAACAAGGAAATGATGTAAATATGATACAATCTCAAACAACAAAAATTTATTATTAAAGAAGAGTGTACTTTCAATGAAGCTCACATTATACAGTAGGGAGCCAGGATTCAAGCATGGACTCCTAGTGGCAGAGACCATAGAGACTGAAGAGGAGATCCTCTAACTGGCCTAGTCTTCTAGTAAAGAGCTGAGAACACCAAAGAACCTACAAAACTTCAACCAAAAACACTCTGCTTACCAGATATACAGGGATGAAGATAGAATAGAACGAGACAGAGATTGAAAGAATGCCCAAAAGATGTCTGGCCCAACCAAAGATGCACCCTATTAGAGAGTGCTAATCCTGACACTATGAAGGCCACTCTGCTAATATTGCAGACAGGATCTTCTCAGAGCTACTCTGAGAGTCTCTATCCAGCGGTGCCTTAAACACAGCTGCTGAGACTCACAGCCAAACACTGGGCAATGCATAGGAAGTTTTGTGGAATAGAGGGAGGAAAGAAAGAAAAAAGCAAGATACAGAAGTGATAGGAACTCCACAAGAAAAAGCACAGAACGAACTAGATAAGGCCAGAGCAGAGAGGGGTTTGCAGAGACTGGACCATCAACCAAGGATTATGCATGAAATGGACCACAACGCTGTAGCAGATGGGAGGCATAGGCTTCAAGTGTGTACTCAAGTAAGGGAATTGGTAACTGCATAGAACAAGGATTCACTTGTCAGGTTTTAGATCACCTTCCCCTGGTGGGTGATCTTGGCAGGCCAAGAGGTGAAGAGGACATTTTCAGTACTGATGTAACTTGAGTTAAGAAGGATGAGAAAGGGCACTCCCATTTTCTGAGGAAAAGGAGAGAACAATGATACTGGGAGAGGAGGAGGGAAAAGGCTACAAGGATGTAAAGTGAATAAAATAAATAAATGAGAAATATCCTGAAAAGAACACCAACAGCACAGGCAACAATCAATAAATGGGACCTCATGAGACTGAAAAGCTTCTGCAAAGCAAAGGACACCGTCATCAAAACAAATCGACTGCCTACAGATTGGGAAAGAATCTTTACCAACCCTTTATCTGACAGAGGGCTAACATCCACTATATATAAAGAACTAAAGAAGCTGAAAAGCAACAAAACAAGTAATCCAATTAAAAAATGGGGAACAGAGTTAAACAGAGAATTCTCAATAGAGGAATATTGAATGGCAGAGAAACAAAGAATGCTCAACGTTATTAGCCATCAGGGAAATGCAAATCAAAATGACCCGGAGATTTCACCTTACACCCATCAGAATGGCCAAGATGAAAAACTCAAGTGACAACACATGCTAGAGAGGATGTGGAGAAAGGGGAACCCTTCTCCACTGCTGGTGCGAATGTAAAATTGTACAACCACTTTGGAAAGCAATCTGATACATTCTCAGACAACTAGGAATAGTGCTTCCTCAAGATCCAGCCATACCACTCCTGGGCATATATACAAAAGAGGCTCAAGTACACAATAAGGACATTTGCTCAACCATGTTTGTAGCAGCTTTATTTGTAATAGCCAGAAGCTGGAAACAATCCAGGTGCCCCTCAACTGAAGAATAGATACAGAAAGTGTGGTGTATCTACACAATGGAATATTACTCAGCAATAAAAAACAAGGAAATCATGAAATTTGCAGGTAAATGGTGGGAACTAGAAAAGATCCTGAGTGAGCTGTCCCAGAAACAGAAAGACACACACGGTATATACTCACTCATATAGGCATATAATATAGGATAAACTTACTAAAATTTGTACATCTAAAGAAACTAATCAAGAGGGAGGACTCTGACTACAATGCTCAATCCCCATCCCGAAAGGCAAAGGGGATGGACATCAGAAGAAGAAAACAGGAAACAACCTAGGAACCTGCCACAGAGGGCCTCTGAAAGGCTCTGCCCTGCAGACTATCAAAGCAGATGCTGAGACTTATGGCCAACTGTTGGGCAGAGTGCATGGAATCTTATGTAAGAAGTGGGAAATAGTAAGATCTGGAGAGGACAGGAACTCCACAAGGAGAGCAACAGAACCAGAAATTTGAACACAGGAGTCTTTCTAGAGACTCATACTCCAACCAAGTACCATACATGGAGATAATGTAGAACCCCTGCACAGATGTAGCCCATAGCAGTTCAGTGTCTAGGTGTGTTACATAGTAATGGAAAGAGGGACTGCCTCTGACATAAACTATTGGCCTGCTCTTTGATCACCTCCCCTGAGGAGGGAGCAGCCTTACTAGGCCACAGAAAATGACAATGCAGCCACTCCTGATGAGATTTGATAGACTAAGATCAGAAGGAAGAGAGGGACACCTCCCCTATTAGTGGACTTGGGGAGGGGCATACGTGAAGAAGGGGGAGGGAAGGTGGGATTAGGAGGGGAGGAAGGAGGAGTTCATGGGGGGATGCAAAGTGAATAAAGTGTAACTAATATAAGTCAAAAAATAAACATTTATAGAAAATAAAAAAAAAGAACAGGAGAGAAACAGACTGAAACTTATGCGGTTTTGGAGAGACAATTAGGCAATAAAGCCTTAAATTTATGTGACAACACAATTCAATATAGTATTAAAAGCCAAGCTCCACAATCTTCCGCTTGGTTCTGGGACTTGGCTGGAACTTCAATAGTTGCGTATTCACCAAGATCTACTCTAAGCATAGAAACTCTGCATGTTCCCAGAGGAAAGGAGGTGATTTAAAACTCTAACCAGATATCCATGAAAACTACAGTCAATATAGCCAATGCTTAGGACAAAGGGGAAAAAAAGCAGTTAGAACTTTGTAAAAGGAATTTCAGCTTCTTAGTATAAAATTCAATGTAGCTGTTTATCAGGGACCATTCACATATGTTTGTGTATAAGCCTATCATGACCTATTCACTAAAGAATTCATGAAACATTATATTCACAAAGAGATGAACAACATAATCCTCATAGATAAAATGTACTCTAAGTTTAATATTTTACACAGCTGAAAATGCCAGGGACAATATAAGGGGTGTCATTATTTTTTTAATTTTTTATTTTTTATTTATTATAATTTATTCACTTTGTATCCCAGCTTTAGCCCCCTCCCTTATACCCAAAAAATCCTGGCCTCTCTCCCTCTTCCCCTCCCATAACCCTTCCCCATATGTCCCTTAATTGAGGAATAGATACCGAAATTGTGGTACATTTACACAATGGAATACTACTCAGCAATTAAAAACAAGGAAATCACGAAATTTGCATGCAAATGGTGGGAACAAGAAAACAACATCCCGAGTGAAGTATCCCAGAAGCAGAAATACACACATGGTTTATGCTCACTTATAGGTGTATATTAGACATACATTATAGGATAATCGTACTAAAATATGTACACATAAAAAAGCTAAGCAAGAAGGCAGACCCTGGATAAGATGCTCAATCCTCATTCAGAAAGGCAAATAGGATAGATATCAAAAGAGGATGAAAACAAGGAAGAAGATGGGAGCCTACCACAGAGGGCCTCTGAAAGACTCTACCCAGCAGGATATTAAAGCAGATGCTGAGACTCACCAAATTTAGGCAAAGTACAGGGAATCTTATGAAAGAAGCGGGAGATAGAAAGACCTGGAGAGGACAGGCGCTCCACAAGGAGAAAAACAGAACCAAAAAATTTGGGCACAGGGGTCTTTTCTGAGACTGATACTCCAATGAAGGCCATTCATGGAGATAACCTAGAACTCCTGCACAAATGTAGGCCAGGACAGCTCAGTCTACAAGTGTTTATCCTAGTAAGGGGAAAAGGAGATGTCTAAGATATGACCTCACTGGCTCTTTGATAACCTCTCACTGGGGGAGGGGGAGCAGCCTTACCAGGCCACAGAGGAAGACAATGGAGACAGTCCTGATGAGGCCTGATTGGCTAGGGTAAGAGGGGTGTCTTTAATATTCAAATTTCTAAATACTTCTTCATTCAGTTCAGCATTACTTCTCCTAAATATAATAAAAAGAATTTCTTACTATCTCATCTTAAAGATTGTGAGATTATATCTCTCTTATACAACACAGAATAAACAATGTAAGTAGTCTAGAATCTACGGATTCTAAGTGAGATTTCATAGCTCTTTTCATATCAATTTTCACTGTAACTTATAAGTGCTTAATGAAAAAAATCATACCACTTTTGTTATTCTTCCATATAATATGCCGATGACTTTCATAATTTGTATTCAACCAACTAAGTAGAATCCTTTCCGAATTAGAATATATGTTGCTGGATGCAAAACAAGGATTGATTTTTGTTGTGTTCTCCCCACACATGTTTGTTGCAGAACTGCAGCAATGTGGTGTCACACGATATAGAATCATAACCTGGAATTTTGAAAAACATAGTTAATAGAATCAGATGGAAAATAAATTCGCCTTTGAGAAGTTAATTATCCAAGGTACATAAGTAAGGGAAGACACTAGTGTTTTCTGGTTAAATGTACCTTCTCAGGAATAAGAGAATAGCTATGCTGTATGCCACTAATAGTCATTTTCAATCTTCAGGGTCTTTTTTTGCTTGCATGCTAATTATATTATAAGGTTCCTCACTATGCAATTTATAACACGATCCTTCCTAATTAAAAAAAAAAAACTATGTTTGTCAACAGATCTGTTAGAATACCAATTCATCAAAACATGTAAATTTGGTGTAAATTTATTCTTACAGTTCACAAAATTTAAGATTTTGAACATCAAGAATTTTACTCACCTGTATTAGTTACTTTTATTGTTGCTATTACAAAACATCTGAAAACAGCAATTTAAGAAAGAGGGCTTTATATTGCCTCTCAGTTTTATGGTTAAGGAATCACTGAACCCAGAACATGAGATAGCTGTTCAGTTTCCAACCACCACCAGGAAGCAGACACAGATGAATTCTGGTAGTTAAATTGTATTTATTTATTTATTTATTTATTTATTTATTTATTTATTTATTTATCTATCTATCTATCTATCTATCTATCTATCTATCTATCTATTTATTTATTTATTTATTTATTTATTTATTTATTTATTTATTTTGGACCCTAACCAGTGGTATCGTATTGCATATATTTCGAGGGAACTTGTCAGCTTAATTTGCCTGATCTAGACATTCCTTCACAGACATGTTCAGAGGTTTTTCTTCCAGATCCTGTCAATTTGACAGTTAATATTAATCATTATACCACTCAAAATGCATTTTCATATACAACTTACAAACATCTTTTGTTGGTTAGTTGGTAACAGGGTCTCATGTATCTCACATTGCTTTCTAACTGGCTAGGCACACAAAGCTGCACATTGCACTTCCAATTATTCTACTTCTCCCTCCCAAATAAAGAATATAAGTGTATGCCACTATGCCTGTAATATGTGTATTTAGGGAAATAAATAGTACAAAAATTTACAATTCAATGTACTTTTAGCTCATGCTATTAAGTTTGGTAATAGAATCACCGTCTCATTCACTGCATACACACTATATCTGCTAGGTAGAGAAATATAGCACATGGGACTCAGAGTTTCACTTCACTGACTGTTGAAATAGTTTCTAGATGAAAGCAATAACGTGAGTTTTCTTGATTTATTATGCATTTATATACATAACCAGATATTAAATTATATAAAATTTATTGTAAAACATTACAAATGAATGAGTCTGATTAACTCTTTATATTATATACACAATCTTACCTCAGTTCACTGACATGTCCTGATACTTTCAAAGGTAGTTCTCTAAAGTCTTGGGTTTGAAGACTACAACTTGTCTTGGATATGAATAACATACCTTGAGTGAATATGCTCTAGAGATATGGTTGTCCTGTTCACATCCACCCAGCACACACCTCCTCATTCTAAAATATTTTTATTGTAGGCAATTGCAAATTGTCACTAAAAGAATGGTTTCCTTACAAAGAAGCACACACAGCCAACAGAAACATCATTTCTAAAACAAACTATTGGATACTTGTCTCAGAGCCTGCTTCTGGAATAATCCAATCTAAGATATTTTTATATTCAGGTAAATGAACTACAGAAAAATGATGCTCATGTCTTTATGTATAATATATTTACGTTATGTCTTAAATAGCTTCAATTAAAAAATATTAGACTCACCAAACTGTTATTTCCTTTCCAAAATGAAAACTATAAAAAATTTAACCAAATAAATCTAGTACAGAATATTCAATTTTTATCTGATCTATGTGGTGAGAATACCAATCCACAAACAAGAAATGCATTATTTTAACATTTCTGTGATAGAAATACAGTACATATTGTATCTTTATACCCCTTATCTCAAATTCTACATACTTCAAAATGAAACTGACTGTCTTGGAAATTGATTCTAGCCCTTCCTGATTAATAAAAAAAAATGATGAGTTATTTAACTACAAATGATGATATAAATATTTGGGATTCATCATCTGAGATACCTTAGAATTTACCTATCAAATGTTTCTTCTACTTTGGAAAGGGAGTAAGATTTTCAAGTAAACCTTAAGTAGGTACACAGTTTTAATGACGGGATTACATGGATCATCATGGTATACTCTAATACAGAAAGAATCAAAACAAGCACACTTTCTACAGAAGAGCTATTTTAAAAACATTGCTGCTGAAATATCTCTCAATTTTCACTCTATAACACGTTGATAGTTCTTCAAATATAGTAATATTTATAAACATATAAATGAAAGGAGTATAGAAAACACTTCATATATATCAAACAAATTTTTGACGAAAACAATAATATTTTTGTTTAAAATTAAAGTCACAAACTGAATTGATGGAATAAAATGTTAAGCACAGAGGATAGAACATGTTGTTAAATATGTCAGCTAATTCTTTAATTTAGGTAAATTGATTTCAGAAATCTACATTCACAGCTTTCCTACATGTAAACATTAGTTACATAACCATTTTTGTGAAAGGTCTGATTTATAAATAATCATCAATAAAATGGACTTTATAAGTTCAAAAATCTCAAGGGATGATGCATGCTGGAGTGGATGTAGTAGAGAAAGGAGAACCCTCCTCCATTGCTAATGGGAATGTAAACATGTACAACCACTTTGGAAATCAAGCTGGTGCTTTCTCAGAAAATTGGGAATAAAGCTACCTCAAAATTCAGCTATACCACTCCTGGGCATATACCCAAAAGATTCTAAACCATACAAGTACATTTGTTGAATTATGTTCATAGCAACATTATTCATAATAGCCAGAATCAGGAAAAAACCTAGATGTCCCTCATCTAGGAATGGATACAGAAAGTGTGGCACAATTACACAATGGAATACTACTCAGCAATTAAAAACAAGAAAATTATAAAATTTTCAGGCAAATGGTGGGAACTAGAAAAGATCAATCTGGGTGAGGTAACCCAGAAGCAGAAAGACACATATGGTATATACTCACTTATAAGTGGATATTAGCCCTATAACATAGGATAAGCATACTAAAATCTATAGTCCTAAAAAAGCTAAACAAGAAAGAGGACCCTAGGGAATAGGCTGAAACCTTATTCAGAAAGGCAAACAGAATAGACATTGGAAGAAGAAGAAGACAAGGAACAGGACAGGAGCTTTCCACAAGGGGTCTCTGAGAGACTCTACCTATCATGGTATAGAAGGATATATTGAGACTCATTGCCAAACTTTGGGCAGAGTGCAGGAATCCTTAGGGAATAAGAAGGAGATAGAAAGTTTTGAAGGGACAGGAACTAAACAAGGAGAGCAACAGAGCCGAAAACTTGGGCCCAGGATTTACTGCAGAGACCGATACACCAACCAAGGACCCTACATGGATAGGTCCTAGAACCCCTGCTCAGTTTCCAAGTATGTTGCCTAGTAAGGGCAGCAGTGTCTATCTTTGAATGTAGCTGGTGAAGTTAAGTAGCAGAGTATACAACTGGTGACATAAAGATAATATACAAATGTGTGTTAATTTATATATCAAAATAAAGCAGAAAATAACAATAACACAGCAATGATATTAATTTTCTAGTCTTTTTCCTCCCTAAGCCCAGGAAATACATTTATTAGTTACTACAATGTATTCACTTTGTATTGTAGCTGTAGCCCCTTCACTCATCTCCTACTGGTCCCACCCTCCTTTCATCTTACCCCAGTATGTCCTTTCCCTAGTCCTTGATATGGGAGGTACTTCTCCCCTGATTTCTGACCCCAGCTAACCAGATCTCATCAGGACTGTCTGAATCCTCAGAATTTTGGGCCCTAATAAGGACACCCCACCAGGGGGAAGTGATCAAAGAGAAGGTAACCGAGTTCATGCCTGTGACTATCACTGCTCCCTTTACTAGGGAAAGCACATGGAGACTGGGTTGCCCAAGGACTACATCTGAGTGTGGAGGGGGTGGAGGGTTAGATCCTCTCCATGCATAGTCCTTGGTTGAATTGTCACTTTCTGCAGGACACACTGGGCCCAGACATTTTGGCATTATTGGTCTTCCTGTGGCGCTCTAGTCCTCTCCAGGTCTTTCTATTTCATCCTTCTTACATAAGAATCCCTCCCTACACTCTGCACAAAAGTTGGCTATGAGTATCAGCAACTACTTAGATACCCTTCTGGGCACATCTTTCATAGGTCCTCTGTGGTAGGCTTCTTCCTTTCAGATTTGTATCCCCTTGATCTCATGTAATTTTCTTAATGTTCTAGCTAAGGACTTTAAGAACTATGTTGAAGAGACAAGGAGAGACTGGACAGCCTTGCCTTGTCGTTGATTTCAGTTAATTTTTTTAAGTTTCTCTCCATTAAGTTTGATGTTGGCTATAGGCTTGCTGTGTATTGGTTTTACTATGTTTAGGTATTTGTGTTTTGTACCTGATCTCTCCAAAACTTTAAATATGAATGAATGTTGAATTTTGTCAAATGCTTTTTCAGCATCCAAGGTGATGATCATGTGATTTCTTCTTTCAGTTTGGTGGATTACATTGTCAGATTTTCATATATTGAACCACCCCTGCATACCTGGGTTGAAGCCTACTTGGTCACAGCAGATGCTATCTTTGATGTATTCTTCGATTCGATTTGCAGGTATTTTATTGAGTATTTTTCATCAATGCTCCAAAAGGGAGATTGGCTGAAATTCTATTTTTTTGTTGTTGGGTATTTGTGTGGTTTAGGTATTAAGGTGACAGTGTCCTCATAGAAGGAGGTTGGTAAAGTTCTTCAGTGACTCCTTTGTGGAAAAGTTTGAAGGGTCCTGAAGTTAAATCTTCTAGGAAGGTGTGATAAAATTCTGCATTGAAACCATCTGACCATGGACATTTTTTGGACAGGAGACCTTTGATGACTGTGTTTATTTCCTTGGAGAATATAGGGCTATTTTTCTGTTTACCTGATCTTGATGTAATTTTGGTAAATGGAATCTATCAGAAAATTTTCATGAAATTTGCAGGCAAATGGTGGAAACTAGAAAAGAATATCTGGAGTGAGGTAAACCAGATACAAAAAGACACACTCACAAAGTGGATATTATCAATATAATAGAAGGTAAACATACTAAAATCTATAACCCTAAAGAAGCTAAACCACAAGGAGAACCCTAGGGAAGAGGCTGAAACCTCATTCAGAAGGGCAAACAGGGTAAACATCAGAAGTAGGAGTAAACAAGGAACAGGACAGGAGCCTTCCACAAGGGGTTTCTGAAGTCTCTTTCCATCAGTATCTTTACTGAGACTCATAGCCAAAATTTGGGCAGATTGCAGGAAAACTTAGGAAGATAGAATGAAGAGGGAGATAGCAAGACATGGAGGGATAGTAACTCCACAAGCAGATCAAGAAAGACAAAAACCCTTGTTCCTGGGGGCCCTGTAGAGACAGATAGTGCAACCAAGGACCACACATGAAGAAGAACTAGAATCCCTGCACAGTGGAAGCCTATAGGCTACCAAATTTCTAAGTGAGATCCCTGGTAAGGGGAGCAGTGGCTGTCTCTGACATGAAATCAGTAGCTGGGTCTTTGATCACCTCCCCCTGGAGCCTTGACAGCCACAGAGGAAGATGATGCAGCCAGCCCTGATGAGACTTGATAGGCTGGGGTCAGCTAGAATAGTAGAAAATTCTCCCCTATCAGTGGACTAGTGAAGGGTCTTAGGGGGAATAGAGAGAGGGTTAGTGGTACTGGGAGAAGATGAGGGAGAAGGCTACAGCTGATATACAAAGTGAATAAACTGTAATATATATAAGAAGAAAAAAAATCTCAATGTTGTTAGTCATCCAGGAAATGCAAATCAAAATGACCCTGAGTTTCCAACTTACACCCTTCAGAATTGCTAAGATCAAAAACTCAAGTGACAAAAAATGCTGGAGAGGTTATGTAGGAAGGGGAACCCTTCTCCATTGCTAGGAGGAATTTAAACTAGTACAACCATTTGGGAAATCAATCTGACACTTTCTCAGAAAATTTGCAATAGTGCTACCTCAAGATCCAGTTATAGCACTCCTGGGCATAGGTCTGAAAGATGCTCCACCATACAAAAAGGACATTTGTTCAACTATGTTCAGCTTTACTCCTAATCGCCAGAATCTGGAAACAACCTAGATGTCCCTCAACTGAAGAATGGATACAGAAATTGTGGTACATTTACACAATGGAATACTACTCAGCAATTAAAAAACAAAGAAATCATGAAATTTTCAGGCAAATGATGGGAAGTAGAAAAGATCAACCTGAGTGAAGTAACCAAGAAACAGAAATACACATATAGTATATACTCACTTATAAGTGGATATTGGTCATATAATACAGGATAATTTCCTAGTCTTTATGCACAATATAAAAAAATTTCTTGAAGTAACTGACATCTGCAATTATGGGTGGAGAACTGTCAATAAGACTATCAGATGTATCATGGTGTTTTACTGTATTAAAATAAAGACGAAGAGCAAAGTACTTGTGCAACAACTCATCTATCTGTATATCAAATATGTGGACAAATCACATTAAGGAAAATAGAAAAAAGTTAAATAAGACAACAATAATACATAACTGAAATATATAAATCATGGTTATATAAACACCAAGAGTTATAATCTTTGGTATCTCATACTCCATAAATTATCTTCTCTAAATCTTAAAAAAATCTGCTTAAACACTTTAAATCAGAATCTTTCTAGTTTTATTCAACAGAAAACTATTCAGTAAAATGGATTAAACTACAATGTAAAAATAAACTATTATGGTAAGCCTTATTGATAATAGCCATATACCAAGATAATGAAGGAAGACAACTAAAAATCTAAAAAATAAGTCTCAGGGGAGTAGAAACAGAGATGAAAAAACAGAGTAGGCCCAGCTACTGAAATACTGGATAATGCCTACGTATATGGAACATCATTTAAATGTAGTAACAAATCTTCTGACTACATTATTTAATTACATTTAAAGATCATATTGATATTTAATTAAATTAAACTGATTAATTAAAATTTTTATTAACTGATTTTGGAAAAATGTTTAATCAGAAAGGCTGATACATATGTGAAAGGATGGAATACATCAAGCACAGCTCTGGAACATTCACTTCCAAATATTTCCATAAGAAGGAAAACATAATTTACATATGCCACTGTGTTTATGATGTGTATGATGTGCATGACATCATTTCCTAAACTATTGCACTATCCATGTGAATGAAGAACACCAACAAAATTACAGCAACAAAGAGTGGAAGTATTACCTTGTATATCTGAAGAAATACATCTGTCCATGCCCGTTTACTCCAGGCTTCAAACTTCTCCATATCTATATTAATAGAACAGTTTCCCTTAAGTGTACAGAGATCCATGTTTTTAGTGGATGCCTTTAAAAAATTAAATACAACAGCATAAATAAAAAAGCAAAGGGGGGCAAGGCAAGATGGCCGCGCCAGAAGGACTCTCATTCTGAGCAGCAGCACAGCAGGATTGGCACAGTGACCAGCAATCAGAACTCGCAGCCATAAAACACAAATGATTGTGTTTCACAGGTGAGAGGATAGCCCACGGTGGGGGATTCAATCAGCTTTAACTCACCCTGCTAAACTGCGGAAGAGATCCTGGTTCCACCAGGCTCTTGGTCGCTAGCCCAGAGCTACACGCCAGTGTGATCTGGTCACTGTCTCAGACTGAACTGTGGGCCCAGAACATCACAGACTGGATTTTCCAGTCAAGAGATAACCCCACGGAGCAGGAAACAATTGGGACCGACCTTAGGTCACCCAGACATCCCCTGGAAAAGACTGGGGTTCGGCGGGCACCACAGGAGCCAGCCCGGAGCCACAGCCGGAGACCCAGGCACCTGAACAGATCCCTGCCTGTGCACCTGATTCGCTGCCTCAGATAGGACTATGGGCCCCAGGGCACCAGGGCACCAGAGCACCAGAGGACTGCGTTTCACTGTCAGGTGCAAACCCACAGGGAGGAAAACGGCTGGTCTGATCTCAGAGCACTCAGCCGACACCCCCACCCCGAAAAGGATTCAGGAAAATTATCCAGTTTAGGCAGATGCCCAGGCTCGGAAAGGCCAGAAAGGCGGAGCCACAGGTGAGCATCTGTGCCTGTGAGTTCTACTCGCCACCCAGGACAGAACAGCAGTCCCCAAAGCAAAGACTGGGTGTCTCTGGCAGGAGGAAACCCCCAGCGGAGGGGCTCATCAGCTATAACGCTCAGGACACCCAGCACCAAAAGACTTTCTGTATTCACGCAGACTCTAGGCTCTAGCTTTCTAATACAGGTAAAAGCGCTGTACTCAGCTGCCATTATTGAATTCCCCTAGGGCACTGGGAAACACAGCTGCATCCTCAGACCTACAAAAGCCAGAGAGCCATTACAGCAGCCCTCAGATACTCTGCCAAGGATCAACCAGTTCTCCCTAGCTAGACTGACAAAACTGTGGGAATCCCTGGTCCTTCAAGAGGGCTGCACCCACAGCCTCTGGAACAGAGCAGTGCCTGCAGCCGCCATCCCAGACAGAGACACACAGCTTCTGGTCCAGAGTGAGGCACCCAGCCTCCAGACCAGAGCGGCGCCCCTAGGTGCCAACTCAACCTAGGTACACATTCTCCAGGCCCAGAGTGGAGCACTCAGCCTCTGGCCCAGAGACTTGCTGGGCACACCTCTCACTTTTCCAACAGAACTGTGTGCCCCAGGATAACAGACTAAGTTTCCCTGTTGGGAGAAAACACCACAGCTAGGGAATCAGCAGGTTCTTCAAGAGAACTGTACATGGAAATTTAGTGAGCAGCAGCACACTAAATTTATAACGAGAAACCCAGGAGAGGGGCAGCTGTCTTGAGAACTTCTATGGGTAAGAGGAGATCCCCCTGCCTAACAAAGACCAGAGCTACTACTCAGGGCAATAAACCTGAGGTGAGCAGTGGCAATTCCTGAGAAACACTGGCCATACAGTGACCATAACCAAAAAGCAGAAGAAGACTCCTTCAGGAAAAATCATCTTCCGACCAAGGGAATTCTGCCTACCTCAGGACTCCAGGAAGCACGGAAACTAACAACCAACACCTAAATCAGCCCAATGGGTAGAGGTCAGCATAAAAACACAACCAACAAAAGACAGAGTAATATGGCATCTCCAGAACCCAGCCATCCAGGGGCGAACAGCCCTGGAAAACGCAGCATAATAAAAGATCAAGAAGATGATCTTAAATCTATGCTGATGAAGAGGATAACAGAGGAAACAAATAAAATACGTAAAGAATTAGAGGAAGATAAAACCAAACAGATCATGGCTATCCGCAAAGAAATGGAGGAAGTTAAAGACAAGCAGATTATGGCCATCCGTGAAGAAATCCAAGAAGATGCAGCCAAACAGCTCGTGGCCTTCAGAGAAGAAATAATTAAATCACTGAAAGAAATAAAAGGAACAGAGTTGAAGGAACTAAAAGAAAAAGAGGAAAATACAATCAGACAGGTGAAGGAAGTAAACAAAACAACTCAAGACCTGAAGATAGAACTAGAAAAATTAAAGAAAACACAAATGGAGGAAATAATGGAGAGGAAGAATTTAGGGAAGAAAACAGGAACTACAGAGGTAAGCATAACCAACAGACTACAAGAAATGGAAGAAAGAATCTCAGGTATAGAAAATACAATGGAAGAAATAGATGTATCTGTCAAAAAAAATGTTAAATCCAAAAAATTCCTGACACAGACCATCCAAAAAATCCAAGACAATATGAAAAGACAAAACCTAGAATAATAGGTATAGAGGAAAAAAGAAGACTTCCTTCTCCAAGGCCCAGAAAATATTTTCAACAAAATCATTGAAGAAAATTAGCCAAGTTAAAGGAGAAGCCAATAAGGATACATTAGGCCTACATAACACCCAACAAATTTGACCAGAAAAGAAAATCCTCCTGCCACATAATAGTCAAAACAGTAAGTATAGAGAACAAAGAAAAAATACTAAAAGCTGCAAGGGAAAAAGGCCAAGTAACATATAATGGCAAACCCATTAGAATCACACCTGACTTTTCAACAGAGACTATGAAAGCCAGAATGCCTGGACAGATATCATGCAGACCCGAAGAGAACACAGATGTCAGCCCAGGCTACTATACCCTGCAAAACTCTCAGTCCTCATAGACGGAGAAAACAAGATATTCAATGACAAAAACAAATTTCAACAATACCTACACACAAATCCAGCATTACAGAAGACATTGGAAGGGAAAATACAACCCAAGAAAATGAGCTTCTTTCAAGAAAACACAGGAAATAATTAACCTTACTACAGTAAAACAAAAAGCAACCATGCACACAAACTTATGAACACAGCCAACATCAAAATCAAAGGATCTAACAGCCACTGGTCATGAATCTCTCTCAACATCAATGGACTCAACTCTCCAGTAAAAAGACACAGATTAACAGAATGGATACGTAAACAAAACCCAGTTGCATACAAGAAACACACCTAAGACACAAAAATAGACATTACCTGAGGGTAAAAGGTTGGAAGACGACTTTCCAAGCAAATAGACTCAAGAAGCAAGCAGGAGTAGCCACTCTAATATCTGATAAAATAGACTTTCCACCAAAATTAATAAAAAGAGATGGGGAAAGACACTTCATACTCATCAAGGGAAAATTCCACCAGGAAGACATCACAATCCGGAACATCTATGCCCCAAATACAAGAGCACCCACATTTGTAAAAGAAACATTGATAAAATTTAAACCGCATATAGATTCCCAAACATTAATAGTGGAAGACTTCAACACCCCACTCTCAACAAAGAACAGGTTAACAAAACAGAAATTAAACAAAGAAACAATATCTCTGACAGAGGTCATGAATCAACTAGACCTCACAGACATTTACAGAACTTTACCCCCAAACACAAAAGAATTTACCTTCTTCTCAGCACCTCATAGAACCTTCTCCAAAATAGACCATATAGTTGGTCACAAAGCAAGCCTCAACAGATACAAGGAGACTGAAATAATCCCTTGTATCCTGTCTGATCAACATGGAATAGAGCTGGACTTCAACAACAACAGAAATACCAAAAGCCTACACACACATGGAAACTGAACAACTTGTTACTAAATGACAGCTGGGTCAGGGAAGAAATAAAGAAAGAAATTAAAGTCTTCCTAGAACTCAATGAAAATGAAGACACAACATACCCTAACTTGTGGGACACAATGAAAGCAGTGCTAAGAGGAAAGTTCATAGCACTAAGTGCCTTCAAGAAGAAATTCGAGACAACTCATTCAAGCAAATTAATGGCCCACTTAAAAAACCTAGAAAAAGAAGAAGCAGACACACCAAAAAGGAGTAGATGGCTAGAAATAATCGAACTCAAGGATGAAATCAATCGATTAGAAACAAATAAAACAATTCAAAGAATCAATGAAACCAAGAGCTGGTTCTTTGAGAAAATCAACAAGATCGACAAACCCTTAGCCAAGCTAAATAAAAGACAGAGAGACGCCACCCAAATCAACAAAATCAGAAATGAAAAGGGGGACATAACTACAGACACTGAGGAAATCCAAACAATCATTAGGACTTACTTCAAAAGTCTATATGCCACAAAATTTGAAAATCTAATTGAAATGGACAATTTTCTTGTTCTATTTGACTTACCAAAGCTGAATCAGGACCAGGTAAATCAATTAAATAGTCCTATATCCCCCAAAGAAATAGAGGCAGTCATCAAAAGTCTCCCATCCAAAAAAAGCCCAGAACCAGATGGCTTTAGCACAGAGTTCTACCAGACCTTCAAAGAAGAGCTAACTCCAATTCTCTATAAACTATTCCACAAAATAGAAACAGAAGGAATATTACCAAACTCATTCTATGAAGCCACAGTCACCTTTGTACCTAAACCTCACAAAGACTCAAAAAAGAAAGATAATTTCAGGCCAATCTCCCTTATGAACATTCATGCAAACATACTTGCAAACCGATTACAAGAACACATCAAAGATATTATCCATTATGACCAAGTAGGCTTCATCCCAGGTATGCAGGGGTGGTTCAGTATATGGAATTCCATCAATGTGATCCACCATATTAACAAACTGAAAGAAAAAAACACATGATCATCTCCCTAGATGCTGAAAAAGCATTTGACAAAATCCAACATCCATTCATGTTTAAAGTACTGGAGAGATCAGGGATACAAGGCACACATCTAAACATAGTAAGGGCGATATACAGCAAGCCTATAGCCAACATCAAACTGAAAGGAGAGAAACTTAAAGCAATCCCACTGAAATCAGGGACAAGACAAGGCTGCCCACTCTCTCCATATCTCTTGAACATAGTGCTGGAAGTCCTTGCTAGAGCAATAAG